CGATACCCCCTTTTGAGGGAAAGAGACTTATAAGGGTTTAGGATTCGGCTTTGAGCTTTGGGCTTTGCCATTCGTGAGAGAGGCCAACATGACTGTCACTCTCTCTGGCTTTGGATGGCCGGAAGAAATCAAGGTTGATGTGTTCGAATGCAAACTAAAGGCCACTGCAGCCGATTACTTCCAGGGATGAATCCATTAATGGTGGGATGAAAATCCCTCATTTGGTCATGCCATTGACCAACTCACCAAGGCTTTTGCATGTAAGATATCAGCAGCCCAAGCTACAAAAATTTTACTATCAAAAAAGAAAAATCCAGATCATGGACAGAGCATTACTTATATCTCACAGCAGTTTCAGCTGTGGTAGGTGGAAGGGACGACCTAGTACTAGAGAACATTGTGAAGTTTGCATGCCCTGAGCTAAAGCAGGTGCCGATGGCGAAGTATGACCCTGAAAGGAAGGATTTCCTGCGGCAAGCAGAGGAGCCCACCTATTTTGCTCAACACGTGGACAGTGAATGGAACACGCAAGTGGGCAAGGATCTTGGGCAGAACACGACGACTTACAGCCAAACTACAACTGACAATTGTTACGCCTGTGGGAAAAAGGGTCATCATGCAAAGGATTGTCGTTATACTAAACAAGGTAATACATCGAAAGGCGACAAACAAGTCAAGTTTGCACTTTCACTACTTGGTGATGGATGGTCAGAAGGTCGTGACGGATATCAAGATGAAGAGGTGATTGAGTGGCTACTGGATTCGGGACCCAGTCAACACTTAATCGGCAACTCATCGTGGTATTCAATACGAGAGAAATAGAAATTAGTTGTACCATTCCAGACGGTACCAAGCTCAAAGCCACCCTAGAAGGATCCATGTTGCTCACCTGCACAGTGAGTAACATTGAACGAGAGGTACTCCTCATAAATGTACGTTGCATCAAGGGATTGTCAAAGAACCTGCTCTCTAATGGTCTAATGGAAGAGAAAGAATGTGTATAACAGTACAAAGATGGACATAGAACTTTACACAACACCGGCAGTGGACGAGATGAAACAGACGTGACTAAAAGACACAAAGTGCTCACAGTGGAGTGTCGAGTCAAAGGGAATATATGCGATGAGGCAGAGCCGACCGAGACAGCGCTCTCAGAACTTACATCGAATGCAAAGGAAGACAGTATAGCCCCTGTGAGGGACACCCTAATTAACTTGCACCTGCGTTTGTGATTTCTGGCCTACGACACGATAGAAAGGATCGCCAGGAATTCAGATTCTGGTATAGAAATAACAAATGATACACGGAAAGTCTATGTAGCTTGCCACGAAGGCAAGCAGACAAGAAACAAGCAGCCCAGGAATGATACAGGA